AGCGGAAAGGAGGGAGAAGGAGCGAGCGCGAGAAGGACGAGGCGCAAGAGAGAGAGAGAGAGAGAGAGAGAGAGAGAGAGAGACACGAAAAGGAGAAAGATCGCGAGTTACCCCGGCGTGGCAAGAGGGGGGGAGAAGGGGACACGAGGATCCGTTCCACGATTCATCGTGCTGTTGCGCTCGCTCTAGCATGGCGCTCCGCCACGCCACTCCCTCGTGGCGGTGGTACCCACACATGCACGCGCGCGCCCGTACGTGCGCGCGCTCGCGCATCATCGGGTTTGCTATTAATAAATAATGCTCTCCGTAGTCCGCATTACAACTAAGATTCCTTCCCACACCATCTCATCGCGGTTGTCGCCATCGTCGTCGTCGTCGTCGCAGCCGCCGCCGCCGCCACGAGGATGTATTCTCGATTTCGAACACTCGACCGCTCGTGAACTCCGCCTTCTCTCCTTCTGTCCCCGGCCGACAACGACGGACATGCGGTCTGTCACATCGCGCGGAGGGACGCATTGATGTTCACGGCCTTCTCTCTTTCTCTCTTCCCCCCGTGTGTGTTGGATCTGTACGCGCGCGCGCGCGCGCGTTTCGTGGGATCGCCACGATGGAGAAACGCGTCAATTATTTCACATCGAGAAAAAGTTGCACCGGAGAAAAGAGGGAGATAAAGAAGCAGAGAGAGAGAGAGAGAGGAGCTGCTGGACCAGCTATGATCGTGGCCTGACGCGAGAGAATTCCCTTCTTTCCACAAAATTACTAAATCCATAATGAGATATTGATTCGTCTGTAATAGTCCGAAACGTTTGTACATTAATTGAACGGTAAACGCGATCTCAACGTATTTGCGTGCACGCATTAAAATTGCATCACGTTACTCTCTACCCCACTTGCTCGTATTTAATATCGACGCTTGAAATCCACCCGGGGATTGACGATTCAAATTCACCCAATAAAGTAAGCGACGCACGTAAGATTATCAATTCCAACCGAATGCTGAGACTTTGTTAATCGCCGGAACGCGCGATGGCCTTTGCCCGGTTAAATCGCGCAATTACACGCGTTTAATTTGCGGGCGCAAAATTAATCGAATTACAAAATCCCCGGGCGATCGATAACCCGACGATAGCCGTTGGAATAACGTGTGACACATAAATGATAAGGGGGAGGCCTTTGAAGTCCCCGGTTTCCGCGCCCAATAAACCGACAAAAGCAGCCGCCGCGCATTATAAATTACGGCGTTCATTAGGAAGGCAATAGCTGCGCGCGGTAATAAGAGAGGCATTAAGAGCCCCTGTACACACATATGTATAAATGTATATTATATTTATGTTATACGTGTATGTATATATCTACGTGACTCGAAATAAAAAGGGACGAGAGAGAGAGAGAGAGAGAGAGAAAGGAGTGAAAAGTCGGAGAAACGTCGAATTAACGCGAGTGATTCGAGCGCGGCTTCCTCGAGCACGAAAGCAATCGGCGATAGAGGAGCGGCGATAGCGCGGCGAAAAGCCCGAAGAGGCGTTTCTTTACGGCGACACGCAGCGAGGCATCGCGACGCACGGCCGGCCGCGCTCCTCGACGACGAGTGTTTTCGTTCATTGAGGATCTCGTGTTCGTTTTTTACTCCGGCCGCGCGGAACACGGCCGTGGTCGCGATTGGACCGTTGCCCAGGTTGAGGGGAAATAAAAAATAGAACGCCGGCGAAAAAGAAGCGAGCCGACGCTCGCGGCGGACTTTTCTGAGAGCGTTCGCCGCGTGAAAGCGCGGAAACTCGGGCGCTTTGATCCGCCGCGACGCAAAACGCGAACTGAACCATCGATCTTTGGCAAACCTTCAACTAACCGAAGGAGTAAAATGTATAGTTGTAAACGGATAGACAGAATCGTCTCTTGGCATCTCACGAAATATTAAATTGTTAATTTTCGTGCAATTAGAGAGTTCACAGATTGGAGAAAACGATTTTATAGGATTGAAACGGATTGAAGCAGGTTTGCTTTTCGAAGCCCCGAGAATGCCACGGAGATGCGGTCGATCCGTTCGCTCGAGATCAATTCGTTCCAGTGGTTCCATCTGGTAGTCGGAATCGCCACTCGGCGTTCCTGGAGAACACCGGCCCGCAGTCGCAAGCGGTACATTTTACCGGAAGAGATTGCCACACGACAAAAAGATTACGTCACAGCAAAGATGCAACGCTCTTTTGGAATTATTTGCAGTTACTCTATAGCAACCGAGCATGTTATTTAGTTAATTTACATTTGGGATTTCCTGCTCTTGATGCCGTTTCGTGCGCACGTCTTGTACGAGAGAGCAACATGCGGCTCGGGGAAAAACTTTGTTTCCTACTAGGTAATTGGCTTAAGAAATAGTAAACTAGAAAACGAATTGCAACAGATCCATTTCTGCTTCTACGAAACTGAATGATGTTCGTAACTTGACGGGAAATAATCGCTTGCTTATCATCGATGAGGAACAAGAGTCAGAATTGAGGCACGATCCCATACAGCATAGAGAGTTTCCGTTAGACGGTAAGAAACGCCATTTCGACCAGAGAAGGAAACCTATTTGAATTTTAATCGGATTGCTAACACACGCGATCCGATCGACGCTGACCTTCGGACATTATAAGCTGACGTGTTTTGGAGGGACGCAACGAGTCTACCAAATTCGGCAATAGATATAGGCTCTAATTTTCGGCAATAAACGGCGTTAACAAGGCAATAATTTGGGCAATATTGGAAAATGGGTTTTGGTTAACAAAAAATTTCACAATTCTGAATTGCCCTAGTGGCACAATATTGGCGCGATATTGGGAAACAATGTAAATCTTATAGTATTTCCAATTTTGGTCCAATATTGTAATGGACGCCTCCTCTTATTTAGCCAATATGTCTATGTAGCAATATTGGTTATTACATTGTTAAATATTGGCCAATGCACTTCCAATATAAATCTAACATTATATAATTATTATCGTGCATTATTTACATTTACTCCATGGTCAATATCGGTAATATCGGCCAATGCATTTCTAATATAACCAACATTGGACCAATGCTTAGCCAATACACTGTGCTACCAGGGTACTCGAAACGAAATAAGTACACGGAGAGAATTATCTTTTAAAATTTACCCTGAAAATCATGTAATCGTGGGACAACATGACAGTTCGAAGAGTTTTATGAGTTTTTTTTAAATATTACCATACATCTTACTAGGGAAATGTATAATACAATTTCAAAAAGTCTTGTAACATTCTTCAAAACGCCACGTTGTTCCACGATTACACGATTTTCAGATAAATTTTAAGAGAACATTTTGTACCGATCTATGTACACAGGCAATGTAGGAAATGAAGATAATGACTGGAGAAATTCATTGCCATTTTCGGCAATAGGTGTACACTTTTTTGAGGCGCGATAAAACTCTTGGAGGACCGTGTTCTCGTTTAGGAAATACGTCACTTGGACTCCGTACTTTCGTTAAACTTGGCGAACGGTGCGAGGAAACCGTTTGTTTCGTAGATCCGGAAAAAAAATCGCGGCGTATCCAGCGCGACATTCGTTGACCTTTCGTACGCGCGCGATGGCGGCGTGGCGATGAACCGTGACATAAATTACAATAATTCCGCGTCGGCCGCCGGCTCGCGGCGTCCTGTAATTCGATCTTAATGATAGCGGCAGCCGTCGAGGCGATTCGCGTAATTTCGCGATACCGGTTCGCTCAAAACTCCAAACCGGTATTACGACGACGAATCGCTGCGAGAAAGAGAGAGAGGGAGCGAGCAGGGCGGAGGAAAAGGGGGGCGAAAGAGGATCCTAATCGGTTTTAATAGCGCGCGGAGAATCGTTTCTTGCATATTATATATATTGCGAATGCGTCGTAGCGTATTCGCCGACGTCATTGACGGAGCGAAATCCCCGTTTCGCGTACAGTTGATTGTGCTAATAGAATTCAATCGGGCACCGGAAGAGCAGAGGTTGCGTGTTAATAAATCGCTATATAAGGAAACGACGTTGTAATATCGGCTCATTAGCCAAGAGCGGTTTTTTCCTCGTTAATCGTGGCTTTCTGACTGCTCCCTCGCATTGTGTGTCAGTACCGTCGTAAGTGAAGTTGCGATCGATCCGCGGATTCGAAAGACCGTGCGTTTCGTCGCGATTAAATAGTGTAATTGAAAATATTGTACACTTTTTGCGACGTGAAAACTTAACGACGTCTAAAATTTATTAAGTTTATATAGTGCTGTGTGCAGTTTAGAATTCATAAAAAATTCCCTGCTTAAACCGTCTGACATTCGACATCTTCGCTATACAAGATGAATAATCTTCCGTGGTCTCGATTATATTGCAACCAAAATTCTTATGTAAATTAATCCGCAATTATTTTCCACACGGAACATACTCTCTAAAATTTGTGAAGTGAAAATACTGCCATGGAGTGAAATGTTCACCCTATTGGCGTGAATATTTCCTCCAACAGAGTGAATATTAACTCCAATGGAGTAAACATTTCACTCCATGGCAGTATTTTCACTCCACAAATTTTAGAGAGTAAATATCTATTTAGACATCTAATGGATATCCACAACAGATATTAAGGATATCCACGAATATCTAAAAAATATCCGTTAGATGTGCTTTAGATAGATACCTATATATTAGATATCCATAGTAGCTGGGATATTATATAGATATGTATTTTTTTCATTTCATGAAAAACCAGTTGCCAATGCATCAATTGCAAACCACATAAAATAAAATATCTAATAAATATCCAGTGGGTATATATATATATGCACTGAATATTTATTAGATATTTTATTTTACGTGGTTTGCAATTGATGCATTGGCAACTGGTTTTTCATGAAATTTACAAATGCGAGTTACTGCGGACGGTTTGTTAATCTGACACGCATAAGTAAATTTACATTACTTACACGGAATTGTGTATTAATGTATAATATACGTTATAAAAAATCCCTTTCTGTAAACGACAGACAATGAAGATATTGGTGTTCGTCGTTGCATCGCTCATAGCAATCGCGGGATGGACCGAAGCTCGTCCGGGATGGGAAAGGTTTCCAGGGCCTGGCTACCAAGATGGAAGAGGAAACTATCCTAACCGCGGTCCTTGGCAATATCCACAACGAGTAGAAAACAATGGGTTCAGTTCCGACGTCGAGTGGGTGTGCCAAAACCCACGGACGAACGACATAGTATGCAATCACAATAACTTGCCCGATAGGAAAATGTCTCAAATATTGTGCAATAATTGCATCATCCATAAGGTGAAAATTCCACAATAATTGCATTAAGACGATTTCCCCAGCGATTTTGTAGGAATGAAAATGATATGTGCCCAAAAATTAATTAATTCAATTTAGGGGATAAATCATGTACAATGATTTCGCCATTTAGAGGAAAAATCGCCCAGCAACACAGTTACCTCTAATAATTGTTTACAAAAAATTTAGTGTGAAACGCGTTTACCGCTGGACGTGCCTTTATCTCGTCTCGCGTGAATTTTACTTACGATCACGAGACGCCTCGTAACGGCAGCTCGTCGTACCACGGCAGCGATTTAATTAGGCAAATATTCTGCCAAGGTAAATCACCAAAACGCAGCTGTTTTGCTAACTTGCTACTATTGAGAAATACATTGTGCACATATTAATATTTGATGAAAGGTCTCCATTTCTGCATATGTTGTTCGAAATATGTACGCATAATTCCAACATTCCAAGTTTCATTTCGTCACACGATTTTCTAAATATTTTCCTATCGGGATTTAAAATCCTTATCAAATGTTTCTCCAACGAATCCATTTTTGGCGTATTGAAAAGAACTTCTCAAGATATAGGAAAAATTTTCTCGTACAAATTTCGATCAAAAAAGAAAATTAGAGAGCAAAAAGATGGTCCATTGAATTCACTCAGTTTGCTGAACTTTAGATATCTCATGGTCCAGATTGATTTTCAAAGTATTTAAAAAATAAAAACAGACATTGATACATTTGTATGGAATTTTACCGTAACAGAATGCAGATATGTTTAAAAAACACGTTTCACGTTTCGTAGATGATTATCGCCTCCGACGACACACGACACACGCCGCAACAATATCCCGACAGGAGACCGTGGCAGTGGCATAACGTTTCACCAGGCCAGCATCATTCGCACGGAAACCATGGGACTCAGCCAATCATCGTGGTCGAAGAAATTCCAAGCACTGATAAGAGTCGAATACCACCGCCACTTACGCCGACCACGGGAATTCCTATTAATAACGACAAACCTACGCAATCACCGCCTTATCACGGCGGAGAAGGGAATATCGATATCAGACTAGGAGAATAGTTAAGCAGAATAATTTGTATTTCTTATATTTAATTAAGTCGCTTTGATTAAATGATTATTTAATTTATCATTTTGTAGTTCCTTATGAACATCCATTATTTTTACTTATATTATGGAAGTCATAATTTTTAAACAAGTATTTTATAATAATGCTATTAATAAACTGTATATATTTTGTGTAATTTGTTGAACTTTCAACGGTAAAAAGTTAATAATTAAATAATTGATAAATTAGAAAAATTCAATAAACAAATTACTATACATAGAACACAAGATAACTGAATAAATATATTATAATTTTTGTATAGATATGTATATTAGATTTAAATAATTTGTAAAAATGTAGTACTGCATAAAAATCCTGTTGTTAAACATCTGGACGTAATACGAAAAAGATGCACCTGTTTCACCTTGCGTTTAGAATTTTATATTTTTACGGTTTAATTTGTTTCTTGTCTTTTGCAAGAAGCTAATAATAATTGTTTGGTTAAATTCAGTCAAGATTAAGAGAACACGCCAATCGGTCTCGCGAATTTTACAACAGTTGCAAATCAGTTTTTCTGCCGAATTCTGAATATCTTGGATCGAAAGCGACTTACATCTCTAATTACACCTGTGCGGAAAAGTCTAAAACCCGGTTGTTTTCGACGGAGACGTTAACCTCTTCACGCTCGCGATGCTACTTTCTGCGCGCAGCCATATTACTTTTCATAGCATTTGGACCGAAATGCTATTGGTCGCAATGTTTGCTCGCCCTTCTTTTTACATCACGGTGTGTTGGCCAAACCTGAGAGAAACCTGAGAGCGGCCACGCCGGTGTTTTATTGTACTTGATACCGTTCGCTCGGCTGATTCCAGCGCCTTACACCCTGCATTTGGAACTATTTCGCTACACCCATTCTCAAGCACTGCCGATAAAGTCTCCACTTGGTGTGTGTCCGCGCTACGCCCATTTTTTCAAGCGGGTAATGCAGTGCCCAATTTTGGTTGTGTTCCGTGCTGCATGCATGAAATGTCGGGAACACGAGAGTGTTCTTAATTTTTCGTAACAGGAGTAATCATTGATATTAAACTAAAAGTGGATGTCAAAACAAAAAATGGATGTCAAACTCCTGTGCTTCTTAGTTTAATGTCAATGACATAATATTGTAAGTTTTCGAAAAGAATTTTATTCTGTTTGTATTGACTTGCGTTGATTTCGTTTTGTGGCCAACATTCTTTTGAGTTGCAATGTCCTGTAATTAAACTTGTAGATTGATGAATTCCTTGAGAAAGACCACAACCCGTATGGTCGAAACGTCGGATTTAAATAAAGACCATCCAAAAAACCATCTGCTAGCCTAAAGTCGTCTAACAATTCTTTTTATCGTTAATCAACTACTGGCCATTCACATTTTTTCGTTGCTGACATATAAATTACATGTATAATTGCAAAATATAAAAAACTTGCTGACAAGCTACGTCGTACTCCTTTTGCCAACAAAATTTGTAGTAGATTGTTCTCGATAAGCTTGGTTTACTATATCTTTGATTATAACTTTGCATTTTCTGGTTATAAATGAATTTAAATGATGCCTCTCTCTTAGATTTGAATTAAATTTTTATCCGATAAAAACAGACCAACTTAGAGGCCCTCTACCACCCCCGCCGAATTCTTATCGGCGGTCCTCTTTTGTTTGCGTTAAATTGCGTTTTTACATTTTTATAACTGAATTAATTTTATTCACAACTTATTTTGAAATATATACTAAAATATAGAAAGAGAGATAAAGTTACATAGTGAAACTAAAAACATGATACACAATAAAAATATGTACAATTTTTCATTATGACATAAAATTACATATGAACATGATACATGTGTTTACAATAATACGCACCTAACTCTTACAATGTAAAACATTAATAGAAAATGTTACACAGTACACACAACGTGTTACATATGTGGCCTGTGCTCATAATTGTGCAACATTTTTTATTAATGTGCAAACGAAAAATCAAATTGTAAAGACAAATTTATCGATCAATTACAAACGAAACTCTATCAATTAAAAGACTATGTGAATCAAATTGAATTAAAATTTTATTCGATAGAAACAAATCGACTTATACGTATAGAGACCCTCCGCCACCCCCGCCGCATTTAATCGACGGTCCTCTTTTCTTTACAATTTGATTTCTTACATTTTTCTTATAACTTACTTTACAATACGCATAATATTATAAATGAAATATTCGGTATACGTACAATAACGCGACATTCTTTTTACGTACTTATATGTATTAATCATTGTTATTTCGTTAATTTGTTACCTAAAATCATGTCCCGCTATCCCTAACTATCCGAATCCCTATACCTACCCGTATTCCGATCTATACATAGACCTACTTATCCAATTTCTACCTACCCGTGTTTCAACATAACGAACCTATAAATCTTTAATTAACCGTGACGCGATTTTCTAGCGGTTTTACTTGGGGTTTAACGCGACCGCGGGATTTAATAGGGGTTTCACTCTCGCACATATGCGAGAATGTATGTATATAGAAGCGTAACCCACCCGAATTGTGACAAATTAAAAGAAATCAAAGTATACTTCGTACAGCACCTTACTTAGGTGCTCCATCAGAGTGGCCAATATTGACCACTTACCTCGTTGTATTTAGTCCTTCGGTGGGCCAGATTGGACCTACCTTTCGTTGCTCCCGGCCATACAATCTGGTCATTGTGACCAGAGATCAGGAAGAAAGAAAACTCCTTCCATAGTCGGTTTATCACCGACAGATATTTCGTATGTTTCAAACTACATGCGAGCGACAATTGTATCGAAAAATGCACGATCAGGAGAGAAGTTATTTAAAGAAAAAAATTTAATTTGAAAAATTTAATTTCTAAAACTGATCAAAGTGTAATTTTACTTCCGTTTTCAAAAGTATTGACCGTATCTTCGTAACCCGATCCTTAAATATAAAATTCAAGCACATAAATATAGAAAAAAATGTTACTTTGCGTTATATTTACTTTAATTACATTCCGCGATAAAAAAATTAAAATTTATAATACGGATGAAATTAAACAATTAATAATTTCTTGAACATGTGAAAAACTGATCGCGAAAACCGACCGCGAAAATCGTTGCTCCTGGCCATACAGTCTGGTCATGTTGACCAAAGATCAGGAAGAAAGAAAACTCCTTCCATAGTCGGTTTATCACCGACAGATATTTCGTACGGTTCGAACTATATGCGAGCGCCGATCGTATCGAAAAATGCACGACCACGAGAAGTTAAAGAAAAATATTAATTCAAAAAACTTTACGGTATTTACGAATCAAATTTATGGTTACTTCCGTTATTATTAAAAAATGTTGACCATCTCTTCGTAAATTAATCTCTGAATTCAAAATTCGAGTAAATATAGAAAAAAAGTACTTCGCGTTAGAGTAATTTTAATCATATTCCACGATAGATTGAAATTTATAATATGGATAAAATTGAACAATTAATAATTTCTTGAAAACTTTTCTTGAAAAACTAATCGCGAAAACCGACCGCGAAAATACAAAGATGCATGAAACTACGCATGTATTCATGCGAGACGCATCTTGAAAGTACGTATATCACATCTGAATGTAGGTACATACACAGAATAAATGAGGTGAGATCCAGAAAGAAGGAACTTGCCGCACGAGTGACACCGATATTATAATTGAATATTACAGTCAATCGATAATTTCAAATAAAGTACGAAAATAATTTCAAATTTAAGCATTCTCGACAAAATATAACGAAATCTCACGTCATATTATTTTACTTTATACATATATCAATTCTTTAATTCAAAATGGATAGGCTACGAGAGATTAGTTGGCCGAATACATCGATAATATCCGTCAAAAATGAGCTCAACATACTCTGATTTGTAGAGCTCTATTTAATTAAAACGCGAAATTATTTCTAACCTCTCCATTTTAACGTAACGGATCTACGAAATGTATCTACAATCTACGATCAAAAAATGTAGATTCCGTTACTTTAATAAAAAACTTTTTACTCACCGACACGATGCGCAGCGGAGTTGCATCTACGTTGATTCTGCAATGGCGCCCGATGCCTCCTCCTCCACTCAGGTGTCGTCCTCTCAATATCTCAGCTATCCTCCGACACACTCGCGAATTTACACTTCCGTTAGTAAAGTCCTTTGTCACTGTCACTGGTATATCGAAATGATACTTTCTGGGTTTTCTCTGTGTCCGATTGTCACTGATTTCGATTGTCACAGAGTTCGATTGCGCACTACCCAGTGAGAAATGATTTGTCGATCGATGTCAAAACGATGTCGAATCGACATCGATACCGTGAAATTGACGTCGATTCTACATCGTTTCGACATCGATCGACGAATCATTTCTCACTGGGTACGAGCTGTTCGATTACTTATCACTGACATAAATCGCGAGAATTCAGCGATCGCACGATGATATCAATCGCTGATTATTCGCAGAGAACGAACGCGGTTTCTTCCCGCGCTTGTCGCAAACGCGTATCAAGAAAGAATAATACGACATGCGAAGCGGCGCGGGCACAATCGATCAATTTGACAGTCATAGCGTGAACGATCCTGTGTACGGCACCGTAAACTCCTCGGCCGAAAACCAAGCGGATTTCAAGAAATGATGTAGCGCCGACACACTCGCGAATTTACACTTCCGTTTTTAAAGTGACTTCTCACTGTCACTGTATCCAAATGCCACTTTTTCCGGTTTTCACTGTGTCCGATTGTCACCGAGTTCGATTGCCACTACGATTACAACGTCGCACTGATACCCGCACAAATCGCTGACACAAATCGCGGGAATTCAACGATCGCACGACGACATCGAGCATTGATTATTCACAGAGAGCGATCGCGGTTTCTTCCCGCACTTGTCGCGAACGCGTATGAAGAAAGAATAATACGATATGCGAAGCGGCGCGGAGCACAACCGATCAACTCAACTGTCGCCGCGTGAATGATCCTGCGTCGTAAACACCGAAAAAAGCCTTCCGGTATACGATGGCGCGCAAAAACATCGTACGTCACCGCGCCGAGAGAAAAACAACTACGAACGTTGAGAATTCGTTGCTACGTCATTTCTTGGAATCCGCGCTCGGTTTTTTCGGTGTTTACGACGCCGTACGCAGGATCGTTCACGCCCCTGTTTAAAATAATAGATAGAATATGATCAGATTACCCCATACAGCACATGATATTCGGAGAACGTTCTAAGAATGTTCTAGAATATTCTAGAACATTCTTAGAACGTTCCCCGAATATCATGTGCTGTATGGGACATTAGATTGCATGTAATTTCAATGTAAATTAATAAGGCTCTTATTTATTTACATTGAAATTGCATGTAATCTAATGTAATATTATCATATTCTATCTAATATTTTAAACAGGGGCGGCGACAGTTGAGTTGATCGGCTATGCCCGCGCCGCTTCGCATATCGTATTATTCTTTCTTGATACGCGTTCGCGACAATTGCGGGAAGAAACCGCGTTCGTTCTCTGCAAATAATCAATGATCGATGTCATCGTGCGATCGTTCCGCGATTTGTGTCAGTGATTTGTGCGGGTATCAGTGCGACGTAGTAATCGTAGTGGCAATCGAACTCAGTGACAATCGGACACAGTGAAAACCGATAAGTATTAAACGCTAATGTTATACACTTGATAAATAATGTCCCGTGTCTCTCAAGACTCGAATCGCTAGACTCATTAAATTGACGAGCCGAGAAATCGCAAGTCCCGAAAAGCGAAAGTTTTGGAAATCCGCAGTTCCGATACGAGTTTCCTACGCGCTCGGACGAGTCCTGTCGATTTCTCTTAAGACTGGAAGCGCTAGAGTCATTATTGACAAAGATACAGCCACTTCAAGTGGAGATGACGAAATAATATGAAAAAGTCCCGAAAAGTAAAAGTCTTCGAAATCCGCAGTTCCGACTGTTATCTGAAGACGCTAATACGACAGATTGGATTTGCATTGTCCACATGAGAAAACGTTGGTGTAAATATCGTGCAGACAATTAATGTAATTTCGAATTTCTCAGCGCAATCCTGAGAAATAGGCGTAGCATGGACACGCACAGAGTGGTGACTTTATCGGCGGTGTCAGAAGACGCACGGCAAACTAGTTCCGAAAGGAGAAATGGGCGTAGAGGCGCGCAAAACGGTCACAAACGCCGGCGTGGCCGCTCTCAGGTTTCTCTCCGGCCAAACTCTGATTAGAGGGTGTCTCCAGCCAATCACGAAAAACGAGGCCGCGCGTGGCAGCTCTCAGGCTTCTTCTCTGTTCTATGTCTGGTACTAGCCATTAGGTCTGTTGGTGCCGAAGTGTGGAGACTGTGAGCGTGGAACCAGTGTTGGTTTATACGCGAATGCGAAAATATGGCAAGTTCGTCACGGTAAGCTTCGCGAGAAATGAATCTCACTTTCGGCCGCCGATCATTTGAAGGTCGACAGCGTGTCGTCGCGAGTCGCGCTTGAGATCGTATTCGGTATCGCAGCTGAAGAGAAGGTTAAGTTCGCGTACAGCTGTACGATTTTATTTGCTGCACGAGAGACGCACTTTTGTCGCAGGAGTCAATATCAGATTAATCGCGAGCTGTGATACAAACCGTAACATTCGCATCGAAATTTACTTGCATAATGGCGAAGCTGCATCACGCTTCAATATTAACGCTTGCAATTTACAATTAGACGTGAAGTCAGAACGAAGAACTTTGCCTGTTAACACTGGCAGAGACATACGAGAGATTCATTCGCCTCTAACAATCCTAAACAATCCATCTCTAAAGCAACGTCAAAATGCGTAAAGTTATCGCAAACGAGACGTGTGTACTCAAGAAATCTTTCTTTTCTTTTTTGTTGAAGAAATTCTACAAACAAAGTTTGTTGTTACGCACATCCAGATGCTCCACTTATAGAAGATTACAGGGCGGGAGATCAAATTTGTTCGGAATGCGGATTGGTCGTGGGGGACAGGTAAAGGAACTGTAGATACGAGCGTAAAGCTGCGATAAATTCGACGCTGATACATTTCTCATTGCAGAGTGATAGACGTGGGCTCAGAATGGCGGACGTTTAGCAATGAAAAGTCAGGCGTGGACCCGTCGCGAGTTGGCGGCCCAGAGAATCCACTTCTCAACGGCGCGGACCTGTCGACGATGATTGGGCCGGGAACGGGCGCCGCGTCTTTCGACGGCTTCGGTACCGCCAAGTACCAGAATCGGCGTACCGTTAGTAACTCAGTCCCTTCCACCCGTCACCTTGCGCGACGAGATCGTTGCTGAAACGAGACCTACGTTCTTTTCAGATGAGCAGTTCCGACCGAGCTCTGCTGAATGCGTTTCGCGAGATCAACAGTATGGCGGATCGTATCAACTTGCCGAAAACCATTGTGGACAGAGCCAACACGCTGTTCAAGCAAGTGCACGACGGCAAGAACCTCAAGGGTCGCGCGAACGACGCGATTGCCTCCGCGTGCTTGTACATTGCCTGCCGGCAGGAGGGTGTGCCGCGTACGTTCAAGGAGATCTGCGCGGTCAGCAAGATAAGCAAGAAGGAGATCGGGCGGTGCTTCAAGCTGATTCTCAAAGCTCTCGAGACCAGCGTGGATCTTATCACCACCGGTGACTTTATGTCCAGATTTTGTTCCAATCTGGGCCTCCCCAACATGGTACAGAGAGCCGCTACGCATATCGCTAGGAAAGCAGTGGAGATTGACATTGTACCTGGAAGATCGCCCATCTCTGTTGCCGCTGCAGCAATTTACATGGCGTCACAGGTACGCAGAACTACAGCGAGCGCTGCATTCTTTTCCCCCAGCGTGAATTCGTGAGAAGTGAAAAGTTTCATTGACGAATATTGAATTCTTCAATGAGATATTTCACTTTTCGTGAGTCCACGCCAGAGGAGAGGAGTCGTATAATCGAGCCCTAGACCGAGCAGTATTTCACTTTCATGCATTTGTATCCTACACAGGCATCGGAAGACAAGAGATCGCAGAAGGAGATCGGCGACATCGCCGGTGTTGCGGACGTCACGATCCGGCAGTCGTACAAACTAATGTATCCGCATGCGAGCAAACTCTTTCCGGAAGATTTCAGATTTGCCACACCGATCGATCAGTTACCACAGATGTAAAGTTCGGAAAGTTTTCTTCCGGAATATATATATTTAATCGTTTTAAAGGAACACTTGTTTTCCATTACGAGCATAAACTGATTATGTCATTATTTCACACGGGGGGGGGGGGGTTACATTCCTAAATAATTTCAATGCAATTCGTTATTTTCTTTTATCCATAGACAGTAGTGTATGTGTTAATAAATTTCCCTTCTCTCTTTTTAATCGATTTTCTTCAGAATGCATTTTTCCCCGAGGATGTATCGGCGCTTACGTGGAATATATTTAATTTCTATGACATTTTATACTCTGCGGTAATAAAAATTGTCTCGTGCGGTTCTTCGAGTTGCACGCAACTCGGCTTTCCGCTATGTTCTCGTATTTATAACGGAAAACAAGTCCGTTCAGAGTATCGCGCTGGTGTAGCAGATAAGACAACTATTTTTCCATCTGCACGTAATTAGAACGCAAATTCTTACAGGATGGCCTCCCATTATTTGACATACATGCGTAAGACATGCATACATACGTAAGGATTTGTAGTTGACATGATTATATAATTAACTGTAATTATATATTAATTATATAATTATTATACAATTTTCTATGTGTATATAATTGGTATATATATATGCTTAATTATATAATTAATATTTATAAGGATATACATATAGTAACATACAAGATTAGACGGTTTAGTAGACGTACAAGATGGAGGGGAACAGGAAACTGTGTATATATGTATACGTGTGCGTGATTATATGTTCAATTCTATGTTTCCTACAAAGTCCTTGTGTATTTCCTCGATAGGATTTGGCCACTGATTCCGAGCATCTTTTCGCAAATACGCATAAAGCCGTATTATCGCAATCGAGATTGTCGTACAATAAGGATATTGTATAAAATTTATTCTGTGATATTTAAAAAGCGAAAGGAGAGAAACAACATTACCGCGAGTGTTTCGTCAATTTGTGCCCGACGCATACGATATTCTCAAACGCATGAAAATGTACCGGCTGATTACACGCCGCATTACACGTTAATCCCCTGTGTTCTTAAGACAGTAATAAAATTCGAATTTGACCCCTGAGAATATTTGTCAGGCTCTGCGCGGGATGGAGGAAATATTAGGAATAAAAAATGTTAGATATTAAAGCAGAGATTAAATACTTCGCAATGAAAAGGAATGAAATATGAATGTGGAAATTGTATCATAAAGTTAAAATCCAGAATATCTGTGTTTCAGCTTGTGAGTTTAAACAATACAGATTTAATAGTTCCTCTGTTGTGCGCGGATCCTTATTCCTACCGACGAGCGTTTTAAACATTTTAAAGTTTGAACGAATCAATCTGGCATCCTCTGGCGCTTATTCGATGTACAGTTTGTGCCGTGCGACTGAGGTCTTTACGGAAATGTCTTTGCAATCTTGCAAATGTGTTCGAAGCGTCGATAGTTACACGAGTATGAGTACGTAACGCGTCTCCTTGGCACGCGAACTGTATTAAGCCTTGTGTCCACGATCCAA